GATATATATTAAAAATATATATACGAAAAGTCTTGCTGACATCTGTGGAACTATTGCATGCCTAAAGCTGAGCGCACATGTGTTTCCAGGTGTGAATTTTGTTATATTTGATTTAAACCAGGATTTAAGCATACCTAAGATTTTTTTTTTTTTACCATGAGATTTCATCCCATTGTCAGATTATGCTAACTGTGTTTGGCCATGCTTAAACTACAGTGAACCCAAATGCAGAAGTTCCAGTTTACAGCTGGCCAGTGCAATAGCTGGTACTAACACGGTGTTGAATATTATTTTGAGCTTTTTTTTTAACAACCCAATTTATATAAATTCCTAAGGGAGTATTACAAATACGAAAAGGGCTGCTGAAGACATGTAATATAAAACTTGTTGCAAGCCAATGTTCTGTCATATGTGAACTGTCCATATGTGCGTCTCTAAAGTTGCTTCATTCGTTTGCCTATGCATACTGTATGGTGTATTCAAAGCATTGCAGCTGTTTTATCTCATCAATCTGTTACACAGTAATTAGTTTCCTTTTCTGTTTTCCTGGGTGTGTAGCTTGATGCTGAGCCTTGGATAAAGGAAAGGGACTATATGATTCTGGTATTCTTTCTTATGCTTCTTGCATAATCTATTGTTGAATCAAAGTGAGAGATGGGTGCATCCATGTAAATGAGAATTTCCTAGTCCTCAAGAACCCGAAAATGAGACCTTTTATTACTAGAACCTGGAGGGTCAGTAGTAACTATGAATTGAACATTTTTGGGTGGGTAGCTTCTGACAAGCATAGCTATTTCTGAAAATGAAGATCAAAGAGCTATTAAAATTTAATGTATGTTATGCAGAATGTGTAAGCCTTTAGCTATATTTCCTGCTCTCCTTCTTTTCACATGTATGATTTATGATTTATTTTCTGTAGCACAGCACTGTTTCTGCTCCGTGCATTCTGTGAAAAATAACTCTTAATTGACTTTAATCCTCAGTTTTAGAATAGATTGCTTGTCATCTTATTATTCTTTATTTTTAATGCCAAGATGCTTTTGTGACTCAATATAATTGACCTTGCATAGTAATTTCTCTGTGCTACATAGAATGCTGCAGCAGTACTTTGCTGGTCAGCACTTGAGTCTTCACTGTTGTGTTTTTCTTGTATCAGATTTACACTGAACACAACTCTGTGCTTACTTCAGATCTGTTCTCCGTACTGTTTACCTGACTCATTTCTACTGCGCTTTCATTGAGCAAAAGAAATGTATTGGAAATACAGTGTTAATGTTTAAAGAGAATAATGACAGATTTTAGCTGCAGCTCATGAGAAAGGGTAGTTAAGAATTTGGAGATTTTGGGGTGGTTGGTGGGGGGAGAGTTGTGTTTAAACCTACTACTAATGGCATTTTTAGGTAATGTTAGATATGTCAGTAAAGTGAATCTCAAGTGTTAGAACTTGCTAATATCCAGTCCTACATCAGTGGTTATAAGGAGAGGTCATTCTCTGTAATGTTATATCCTAAGGCATGTAGTAACTGTTCAGTATATCGGATTACTAAATTCTGCTGTTCATCTGTAAAGATTAACCCTGTATCTGTCCATTAAGTTGGGTCAGTTTTGATGTATTTAATAACTTGTGAAAATTCAGTGATGAGATTTCTTGGTTATCCTTTATCTTCTCCTAAAATCGTATGGTGGTTCTGTCATTTGACCTCCTGTGAGCACAAAGAAGTGCATTTTTGAGTAATAGTGGGTTTATTCTTGTGCTGGAATTTCTTTTTAACTCAAAGGAGGATGATAATCCAGTAATGGAAGGCTAATTTGGGCTAGGTATTCTTAATAAGTAAACTCCTTTTCTTCTTTTAGTTTGTATTTATTGGAAGATTGGTGATAACTTTCTGAAAAGTATTTTTTGGGGGGAGGTGTAAAAAGAAATTAGTCTCCTGTAGTTATACATAGATTGAATCTAACTTAATGGACAGCATGTTGAAAGTTTTTACTTGAACAGAGTTTTTAATCCTTTTACTAAACAACTTCCTGAAACTTTCTTTTCGTCTACTTAGGCATTGGAGAGAAGTATTCAACATGGGAGCCAACCAAACGAGAGTTAGAATTGCTACGACACAACCCCAAGCGGAGAAAAATAACCACAAACTGCACCATAGGTAAGTTCTTCAAATCCTTTCTGAAGATGATTCTCAGCCACTTGTATGTTCAAAATTCTGTGTTGCTTTTCAATAAATATTTTTACCCTGAGATAATTGTAGGGGATTTCCTTAACCATCAGGAAAACAAAATAAGTTTATTTTACATTACAAACAAAGTAAGTTTATTTTACGTTACCTTTTTCTCACTGTGGAAGGATATTTGCTCTGTCACTTCAGGTACTGATGATGATTCCCCTGTGTAACAGCTAAAAAACAGAACTTTTTTTTTTTTTCCAATATCCATTTAAAGACTTTAGCAGAAATCAGTGATGTTATCTCAACTCACTCTTCATCAGAAATCTCATGCAGTTGTATGAAGGAAAATGCCGTAGTTGCAATGTATCCCTAACTATAGCAGTCTATCGGTAAATCTTGTTTTTAGCAGACAGAATAAGCACAGTGATATCTTTCTGCTTCATGTTGCAAACTCTAAATGGGGTCTCTTCAATTTCGTATTGACTCTGAAAAGATGTAATTTGTTCCCCAGTGTGTGTCAAATAGCAGTTTCGAAATGCATATCAAATGTTTAATGTTCAGAGTTCAGTATTCTGGAGCAAAGCACTCTGAAATGCGGGCATATCTACTTAATGGCTGCAGAGTATTTGGGTAAGGGTGATGCAAATGAACAGCATTTTCCAATTTTTTTTCTGCTGTCTTTAGGTTGAGGGAGTAGGGTGTTAAAACCAGCTTCCTGACAAGCTCTAATGAAGATTATTGGGCATTTTCCTATACTGTTAAATGCACAGTATACATTTAACATTACATCACATTAAAATGGTGAAGGTACAAGGTTGGAGATGTAGCTGTAGACTTTGGAAGTAAGAAACTGTTTAAAAAGTTTTTTTCCTAATTTTTAAGCTACTTACTGTTTTATGAGAATGTGTCAAGCTTTCAGCACATTTGCTTTTGTCAAAATACACTGAACATAATTGCTAAAACTTTTCTAATGTCATGTTTCTAATACAGTAAGTCATATTTAATCCAAAATATGTGTATGTATATTTGGAAAAATGGACTGAGAAGCACAGAGTAAATTGTAGTAAGTTGAAAATGCGTGTAGAATGGTAATTCTAAAGAAGGGACCTATGCATTTGCAGTTGTGGAACAGGAAAGACAGTTGGAAAAACATCTGGACTTTCAAGCAGCCTAGGAAAAAATAACGAGGCAAAGATTGCTTGTATCATGTTCACATTGGGATTTTGTGTTTCATGAAACTCCAATATATTTTGTAAAGACTGTTACGAATTACTTAGGATAATAGAATTGCGCAGGGCAAAAAAAAGGTTTGATAGAATTCTGAAGGTTAATGTGACCTTTCTGAAGAATTGAAACACATTTCTGTGTTTCTCTTTCCAATTTGAAAGAATGCTATGCTTGCTCTTAAAGGATTTTAAATTTTTCAGTCTGTTTTAAAAGGACGTGTCTGGTTGCATGAAATCTCGTACAACGCTGCATGGGTGGGGGAGCGCTCATGAAACACAGGGGATAAGGGAAGTGACTGATCTCTCTACTTCTGCAGGCATGCTTTTAATAATTTCTCCTACTGAGCCCCGGAGCTGTCTATGTGCTGAGATTTAGAAAGAGAAAAAAATCAAAGCACCCAAGAGATATAATGCAGTTTTGGGCTACAGTTAAAAGCAAAAAACTAGCTTTCTTTCACAAAAATACATTGGGGTTTAGCTGAAGGAAGAAAAGACCTGCCATTGTCCTTGAGCCTTTTCTCTCCATCTAACCTGCTGCTAAATATATATCTGCTTCAGAGTCTTTTTCCCTTCACTTTCCTCACATTGACTTGTCTGTTTGCAGTTTCAGATCAGTGAAGAGCCTATATGCAGACTGAAATGCTGCAATTATCTGGACATTCCCATTTCTCTCTTTTTTTTCTAATACTCAATTCTTTTGACATCAAGTTTTTATCAATCCCATAGCAGATATTAGTGAATCCAGTTTATCTTCTGAGGTAGGTAAATGGCTTGGATAGGCATAATGTCCAGTTTTATTGGTTCTGAAAATGAAGATGATGTTGATAACCATCTATAAGTATTGCACATCTGTTAATCAGCTCTGTTTACAAAAGTCTGTTAAAGCTGCCTTTTCTCTATAAAATGCTCTCTGCAAAGCTATTTTAAGAGGAATGCCTGGGGTGTTTGCTGCATTCTGTCTTACCTCCAGAGATACACTGATGTTAGCTGGGAGACAGTGTTTTTAACTGCTCTGCGATGACCTTCTGAAATGGTTATTGTGCCAATGCCTGCTTCAGCATTTGTCTAAGACAAATGTATTAGTGTTACAACTAAAGTAAGTGGGACAGTACTCTAGACAGGCATGGCCTTGAAAGGATGTACTTAACTTGTATGTGAAGGGCTTGCATATGATTATTAGCCCTAATAATAAAATACATTTAAATAATGTTCTTTGTATCTAGAACACACTTAGGGGGTAAACTATGTTTTGTTGTAGTTTCCTGTTACATTTTATTATTTACATGATACTCATTTAGGTAAACGTTTTACTGTATGGCAGAATCCTCTTCGTACATAAAGGGATTATTTTTTTTATTCCAGATTTGTAGCAATCTCACGATGCTTCTCAAACAGCTGGATGTGTCTGCTACTTTTTCTGAGCTGTTTGAACTTTTATACAGCTGCAGGATCCTTTGTCTCTCATTGGCACCATAAATTAAATCTGAAGAACACTCAGTCATGAAATGAATATGTTGTAATGGAGGATTGAGCTGGTAGTTCATTAGAGGAAATACTGTGCAAAACTCCTAGCTTTTGATTTAGTGAAATTAAATGAAATTTCCACTTACATGACAATTTGAAACCCGTTAATGAAGGAACTTCTTGTTCACATCCTCAAAAAACCCCACAAAAAAACCAAAACCAAAAAAAACCCACCTCAACAAAAACCCAACTTAACAAAAACCCATAAACTTTGCCTAGTTTTCTTTTAAAATGGTGTGTGTTTCCATCTCATAGATATTTTTCCAGGTAGTAAGAAGACAAGAGTAGGTAGCTTTGCTTGAACCACTGTTTTGCCATTGAGCAAATTGCTCTTCAAATGAAAACTCGTGTTGGGCACTGCTACAGGCTATAGAAATTGTGCCGATTCCTGCCTTTTGGGAGATGAACAAAGGGCTGTTCCCAAAGTTGCACGTAAGCGTCTTCAAAGTGACTTGGAACACGCTGTTAACCAAGTGGAGACGTTGAGCTAGCTACATGCAAGAAGCCATGATGAAAAATACTCACATAGTGTGGATTTTATTTGGAGCATTTCATATTCTGATGTCCTAGCAGACTTGAAATGTTGATGGAGTTTCAAGACCTCTAAGAAGAGTGTATAGTCTACGTGTATAGTCTACTTGGAGCATAAACATACGCTCTTTGGTAGCAATATCAGCTCAAGACATTCTCAGCCCTTGTTGTGTCCCAGATGCTATAGCATGCTGCCTTTTTCATTGTGCTGGCACCGTTGTTTTCCGGTGAAGTAGATCAGGCCCCAGGGATGGCATATTGCATATGTGAGTGGAAAGTAGACATTTCCCACGTTACTTTATGTTGTTCTCAGCAGCAGTACTGAATCATGGCCTAGACTATTCAATTCATAGAATCTTTCTATTCATAGAAATGCTCATCTTGATTTTGGGTTGAAGCTGGTGTTTCAAGTGTCCTATAACCACAAAACCTTTTATATGGAAAATGAGATAAGACTTAAAAATTATTAAATTAGATTCTAACATTGTAAAAGGAAAATCTGATTTTTTTCACTCTCTTCTCTGTGAAGAGGCCGCCCTCAGGAAGTGAGGGTAGTGACCAAGCTCCAAGTTCACACGCAAATTTTTTGTTACGGGGTTGGACTAGAAGTGGAAGTGATGCAGTGTATCTTCTGGGAACTCTTTTCCAAAGCTGGTCTTGCTCTGCTATCATTAATACCCCCAGTAGATCAGTTCTCCTGAGTACATGAAGTAGTAGCTTGGGATCAGCTGGTCTCTGATTAGCATATGAAGTGACTTTGTGGCTAAAGATTGCTGTATTAACAGTGGGAAGGATGAGGCTCCAAGGCACACGGGTAATTAGCAGGAGCCACCTGGGATTGCCAACTGCAGTGTTGCAAAAGGGCAGAGAGGGGATAGGCTTTGTAGGAGACCGAGCAAATCCTTTTCAGGAAGAAGGACGAGGTGGGGAGGAGATGGCAAAAAGAATAGCTACACGGGAGTAGCAGGTGGGTTTTGCAGCTGTGCAACGCGAAGCGATGTGATGTGACAGCAGCACGAGCGGAATATATACTGCAGCAGAGCTCCCACGTAAAGGTGGCAAAGGAAGAGGAACGGTGGCCTGGAAAATATTTCTGGTTCTCTAGACAAGCTACCAGGAGCATTTCCACTTCTGTAGAAGTAACGGTAGCTTGAAGGTGTTGAAGACTACATTCGTACTTGGAAGTTTTTTGTGAATGTACCAGCTTTCTGGTGTGCTTTATCTAGTTGAATGCTACTTAAGGTAGCTCAAATGGAAAAGTGGAATGAAAAACGTGGGTTGGTACAGCACCAAATTTTTAGCTGTAACTTAAAAGTTACTGATTTGTAAGCAGTAATACTTCTATATTTGAAATCATGATCACACAAAGTGCCCTTGACTAGAAGTCTTTTTGATTTTTTTTTTTAAATTATTTTTAGACTGCTGTGTGATGGAGGAAAGGAAAACCACCTTTAAGACTACTCAGGTGAATGTTTCCTCTGTGACTATTTTTTTCATCTAACTTCACAATTAGAATGTTTATCTGGTTGGAGTTTCCTAAAAGGTTGGATTAGTAAAATCAAAAAACGCTACACTTCTATCAGGGAGATCCTTGTGTTCCTGTTATACTTTGTCATGAGCTCTGACCATTGGACTGAGTTGTATAATATTTTTTTCTTAGGTCTAAAATTGATAAACCTGGTAGTAAAAATAAATTTAAAA